TCCATTAAAGCAGAAGCCCCCTTTCCATCTATGCTGGGATTTTCTTTTTCTTTATCAAATTGCTATTAGAATGTAACTTCCTAAGCCACTGAAGACAAATAATCCACTTAAACTCAATCCCCCCTCCCCATGGCATCTGTGGGCTAAAGAATCTAAGGCCCAGCTGCATCCAGCGAGGTTGGCAGAGGGCTGGCCCGGGGCTGGCCTGGGCACTGGCTGGTTAAACAAAAGGCTGCTAAGCAAACCAAGAGTGGAAGCTGGATTCTGCAGAGAAGGGTTGTGGAACACCTGGTGCCCTGGAGACCTTTCCCTCTCAGAGTCTGAGATGCTCGTTACTGCTCTTGTGTTTCTTAGGGCTGGCTCCCCGGGGCCTTAAGGGTCTTCGTGCTGTTCAAGTCACCTTCAATATTTAAAAGGAAAAACGTGTTTCTTTAGATGTGTTCAGGTTCTCCCTGTCCAGCATCCATTACTGCCGCCTGCCAGTCCCCAGACGCAGGCTGTGAATGAGTGGATTTGCGGAAGCATGTGATTTTATTCCATCTCTAATCCTGCCATTGGACTTGGGGCAGGGATTGCAAAGGAGGGGTCACAGAGACCAGTGGGAGATTGGACATGAGACCATTGACAGTGACACTGAGGGAGTCATGGATACAGCAGCAGAGACTGCCAGGGCCCTTGGACAGAAGTGGCAGGACAGCCACTGAGGGCAGAGAGGGGACTTGGCTGGCCCAGAAGCTCAGGGGCTCTTCCCTGTGGGGCCGCAGCCCTGTCAGGGCCAGTGGTGGCTGGAAAGGAGCTGGCATATGGCAGCATGAGAGGGTGGGAGGCTGGCGGGACACAGCGGAAGCCAGCATGCCCAGGCATTCCATCCCAGGAGGGAGTTCCTCCTTCATCTAAAAGGCAGTGGTGCCGTGAGATAGGAGCACGGGTCACTCTTCTGGTGAGGGAGACACTAACCATCTCAGTTGTGATAGTCTTTTACATATGGCAAAACTTATCACTTACAGACTCTAAATGTGTGAAGTTTGTTGTATGCCACACTTCAGTAAATCTGTTTAAAATAAGTTAGCCAGCAAAAACTTATATGTAATTTCGGTCACACTAGACACCTGCTCGGTGTCCCCCACACCCCAAAGACTTCAAAGCAGAAGTGTTGTTTGAGATAAAGGTGGTCATATTTATTGACATTGGTGTTGTTCAGAACACCAGGAAGGTAAAATAGTGTTGCATGTGTATGTACCCAGTGACATAGCTTCCACATAGGTGAGTAGAGTGTCTCTGACCCGCCTCTCAGTTACTGATAGATCAAAGCAGTTGAAGAACCAGTGAGGATTCACAGGAGAGTTTAACTCTGTGAACCTGCTCTGATGCCTTGGTGCTGGCTGGTTGAACAAAAGGCTGTTGGAATGTCTCCATGAATCCCAGAATGCACACTGTGACACACCCGGGGGCAGCAGGCAGGTGTGGGCCACTGCTGTGTCCCAGGCATTATCCTGAGTGCTTTCACTGTCTGTTTAATCTTCTCAATATTACAAATGAGGAAACTGAGACACAGGCCAGGCATGGTGTCACAGGTGACAGTAAGTGACAGCCAGGACCTGGGCGCCAGGGTTTGTGTTCTTGGTCTCCAAAGATGCTCCCTCCTGGGCGTTTGTGAACTCAGTCACATTCTACTCCAGAAACCCAGGCTCATCCACCTGAAGGGACAGAACCACTCAAAGTTACAAACCCCTCACCCAGCCGAAGCTGAAGGGCAAAACAGAACCAGCTGATTCTGTGTGTAGATTTGTAAAAACACAGTGGTAGAGTAAGCTGTGGTCCCAACAAGGCAGTCACAGAGTTCAGAACCTCCCTAGAGGTCAGGCAGACTGGACTCCTGGAGACCGTGGAGGGCAGCCCCAGGGGGACCTCAGAAGGAGGCGGAGGCCTGCGGTCCCACCTCAAGGAGGCTGAGGCAGGAGGGGTGAACCAAGCCCACCCCCTGTAGCCAAGCAAAACCCGTCTCAAAACTTAAGAAAGAGCTGAGGATAGAGCACATGTGAAGGCCCCGGCGGGTTCCATCCCTAGTACAAAAAAAAAAAAAAAAAAAGGTTGGCCTGTTTGCCATTTACACCACAAGGAAAGGCAAACACTAATGTTCTAAGAACAAGAACTGATAAAACAACAGAAACGACTCACTTTTGTGTGTTTAAAGTATCCATAATAAAGAAAGGAGAAAATCAGTAGCAGCAAAGAAACAATAAAGATAGCAGCAAAAACTAATGAAAAACTGAAGCTGCTCCTCAGAATCAAAAGTTGATTATTTTAAAAGACTGATGAAGTCAAACCTCTAGGTGATTAATAACTATGAGGAAGAAAGTACTTTGGCACAAAAAAAGTGGTATTAAGAATTGCAAGTAGGATAATGTTGCAAATGAAGCAGGGGATTTAAAGAAAAATAGAGTTTTATGAAAAAAATTGAAAATTTGGATGACAAATTCCTGGAAAAAATAAATTTGCCCCCAGCTTTGAGAAAGTCTGAATTGTTTTATAATTATAGGAAACAAATAAATTGAGGTAATACCCGGAGAGTAGATGATGGGGAGGGGGCAGGGCGAGGGGAGGAATAAGGAGGTGCTGGCTGAGTGGCTTCCGTGTGTAGATTCCGTGTACAGTCACGTCAGGATGAGCCCCACTGTCTGTAAGTGTAATGCACTAGAAAACATCCAGTAAAAATGAGAAATGAAATCAGGAGTGAAAGACTTTCCACAAAGCAGCAGGCCCTGCCTGTTTTGCCAGAGCATCCAGCCAACACTCAGAGGACCCATGTCCGTGCAGACTGTGCCTGCCCAGGAATGGAAGAGGAAGGCAGGCTTACCCTGCTCTTAAACCTGAGAACAGCCTCGGAAATGCAAGTGGAGGCCAGTCTTGCACATAGGAACATAGGACTCCTGCGTGGTGCGCAGCACGCTGGGCCTAGTCATGAAAGCGCCGCACACTGAGCCCAAGTCAGGTTCTTGCCGGCAGACGAGGTGGGCACAGCTTGGAGGAGAGCAGGATACTGTGGTAGGAGCACAGGTTGCTGGGAGTCACTGGACCCTGTTCCGTAACTGTCCCATGAGCTCTAGGGAGTGAGGAATGGGAGGGGACTTTCTGACCTACAAAGTCCTGGGAATGCACTGTCTGTGGAGAGCGGCTTCCGGCTCCTTCCAGGATCAGGAAGTGGAGGCAGGAGTGTTGCCCAGTGTGTCTGTCCAGTGCGCCGAGAGGCAAACACTCCACTCCTGCCTTAGTGGCCAACACTGGTCAGCTCTCCTGCCTCCCACCACCTCCACGTCACTCACCTCCACGTCACCTCCCAGTGTCCACCCTCATCAGCCCTTCTGCAGCATGGACCACTCCATCGACTGTCCCTTTGCTCCCTGGCTACTCCTTAGGTCTTTTAGTCATCAGCATTTATTTCTGGCCAGGACCAATGGCCAGTCTCATACTCATGTCCTAGGGCCACCTGCCACCTCCACTTATAGATCCAGCAGGTATCTTGAACTTGGCATGTCACAGAAGAAGTCATGACCTTCTCAACCAATTGCTGCCTGCAAACTCCCGCAACCTTTCTTCATCTCAGGGAGTGTTGTCCTTGATCCTCTTTCCCTTGCACCCATACATGCCTCCTGTTGGCTCAGCCTTCAGCCCACATCTGGAGTCTGACCTCTTCCCACAAGCCTCTTGCCCTGCTTGGCCCACATCTCTAACACCAGTCGGTTTCTTAATGGCCATGCCTCTACCCATCCCTTGACTGTGCCTTTCCTCACCCTGCCCTCTGCCCTGTCTGTTCCCAGTGGGAGACCCAGTGGGATCCTTGCCCTGCCCAGAGCTCCCAGGCTCCCAGGAGCAGGCAGTGGCCAGAGTCCTGGGGAACCTAGCCTAGTCTCCCTTCCCAGCCAGCCTCAGCTTCTGCTTCACACCTGCGCCCTGTGCCCTGTTGGTTTCTGGAGTCTCAGGTGATCTCTGGCCCCAGGGTCTTTGTTACATCTACCTGGAACACCCTGCCCCGCGTCTGTAGGACTTACCTTCTCTGGTCTTCACCTAAGTGTCTGACCACCATGTTGGAATCACAGCCCCCAAACGCACACAGACACCTGCTATTTTCTATCCCCTATCTTGTTCCAAAGCATGTCCCCATCTTAAGTGCCATGTGTTTTGTTTATATTAACTTAATGAACTGGTGAGAACATTTGTGTAGGAACCAGGTGGCATGGCAGAATGGTGACGGCGGCACCCTGGGGACTGGTGTCTCGGGCACCCCAGCCTCAGCAGTCAGCAGAGGGCACTTTGTGGTAGCACTGGGTAAGGGATGGGGGCATCCTGCTGGGAGGGCCGCTGGGGCTCTGGGTGGGTCTCCAGGAGGCCAGTGGTCCGGGTTTCAGGAGGCGAGTAGAGAAAGAAGGCAGAGGGAAGGAAAGGTGGGCCTGGCACAGAGAGGGGGTGTGAGGCACCCTCCTGGCCCAGCCTTATCCCAGCTCCTTGCTCTGTTAGCACCCAGTAGAACCAGGCCCTGGGCCAGGCTCTTGGTGTGCTTGCCCTGCAAATCCCCGGGCCCACCTGGCCAGCCTCTCGGCTTCTCGGCTGGTTTCCTCCTTGAGATGGAAGATGCCTTCCTCTCAGTCGTCGCAGGGGCGGATTCCGCGCCTGGTTGGAGTGAGCGCTGGCTGGGTGTGCCCTTGATCCTCGCTGGCTGTCATCTGTGCTGGGAGAAGATGAGCAGCTGTTTCTGACGTAGCCTACAGCCTGGTCTGCTCGTCCCATCCTATTTATCAGGCTGCTGGTACGTAAAGAGAAAATGGTGTTTATTTTAATGAGTCACAAATTTTGAAATTAAGTCATTAAGTAAAAGTGAGCAGGTTGACGCCCACTTTGGTTTTCCTTGAACCTGACTGGATGAGCCCCATCACGAAGACAGTGCCGCGGCTGGGCTGATGGCTCACACATTAAATCTCTCTCCCGCTTGTTTTTTCTTTTAGTCTGAACCCGAGGGCTTTTCTCATTTCCACTTGTACGTTTGTGCTGCTTTTCTCGTGAGATGGAGGAAAGAAATACTAGAAGAAAGAGATTTTCAAGTAAGTAAACATTTTTTTAGAAGCACCCACGTTTGATTTTCTGCAGGGAGAGAGTTTTATTAGTTTTGGTTCTGGGGTGATCTGTGGAGGAGCCGTGAGGAGTGCTGGTCATATCCCCGCTGGCCTCCTGCTGCCGGGAAGCTCATTCTGGGGAGGGCACAGAGTTGGTGGCACAGTGCGGGCCATGGCAGGTAAACTCGCCAGCTCCCTGAGTTGTAAAGAGTGTAATAAGCTCCCACAGAGCCAGCACATGCCCTCAGCAGTGTGACCCTGGACGGTGGCAGTGTGACCCTGGAAGAACTCTCCTCACTGTGCCTGGACTGTGGTGCTTAAGGGGTGGTGCCTGATGAGAAGCCATGTGCCTGGGTTTCTGTCGGGCCAGACCTCCTGGTAGCTGTGCACCTTGGGACAGGTCTGAGTCTCTCTGAGCCAGCTCCTTTGTGATTTAGCAGGAGAGCTGTACTCTAACCCACTTATCAGGGGATTCGTCGAGCATGTGTCTTATTCAGCTTTTTCGCTGCTGTGACTGAAGGATCTGACCAGCACACTGTAGGGGGGAAAGGTCTATTCGAGGGGTCGCGGTTTCAGAGGTCTTAGTCCAGAGAAGGCCGGCTCCAGTCCTCGGGGCTCGAGGTGAGGCTGGACATCATGGCGGGAGAGGGTGGCGGAGGACAGCAGCTCACATCACGGTGCTCAGGAAGCAGAGAGACTCCAGCGCCAGGTGCAAAATATCACCCCACAGCCACGCCCCCAGTGACCACTTCTTCCAGCCACAGCCCCTGCCTCCAGAGACCACCCAGGTCATCCCATCCGGGATTAATTTACTGATTGGGTTAAGACTCTCACAATCCAATCATTTCTCCTCTGAACCTTCTTGCATGTCTCCCACGTGAGCTTTTGGGGGACACCTCATAACCAGACCATAACACTGTGCATCTGCCAGGCACTGTGCCCCACCCAGGGGATGTCACATGGACTGAGTCCCCAGCCCCTGGTGCACCCCCAATAACTCTTCTAAATGGTGGTCCAAAAAGCATGGGGGTGGTTGGCCACTGGGGGTTGACAGCCACCAATACCTGAGGTACAGACAGAAGTCTGCCCATTACCTACCCAGAGCAGGCCCAGTGCCCGTATCCTGGACAGGGGTGGGACCAGGGGTGCAGCAAAGAGGACACTGCCAGTATTGGGACTGAACCCCACACTGATGTGCCAGGTTCACTCTCCACCTCACTCTGAGCCCCCCATCTCATAGGTGGTAGGACAGGCTAGGTTACCCCACAGTCCCCTTGCCCCACTATGGTGACTTGAGACAGCTTCCTGGCCTGCTTGTTCTGCAGCCCTGTGCTTGTGAGACAGCTCCAAGCATCCCTGCCGCCCGCTGCCCTCTGAGGGCTGTGGTGAGTCATGGACATTCCCCTGCACTGCCTCCTGCTTCTAGGCCAGACGCCAGGAGGGGCTAGACAGGCGAGGCCTCTGTGGGGCCAGAAGTTGCCAACAGGGCCCCAGCCAGGCAGATCGGGCCCAGCCTGCCCACGAGTCCCAAGTGCTCCCTGGGGGGAGGAGGAGTAAGGTTATCTCCAGCCCAGCTGCTTCCCTCTTGTTAGCGTGGGCTCAGTTGTGTCACTGGGGGCACTGGAGCCAGCCTCAGCCAGCCACTGCTCCTGCGTTGCCCCATGCGGCCTCCAGCACGTAGAGGTGTGAACGCGCGCACAGGCCAGCATGCCTGCCGTGTCGGGTGTGCAGGGCTGCTGGGTCAGGGCCTCTGGGCCACCTGCTCCTCTCCTACCTCTACACTCCAGAGCCTAGAAGCCTAAGAGAGGCTGTGACTTCCCTGCCACCAAAGAAGGCAGAATAAATGCTGGTAATGTACCTCCGTCTCCTCATATGCCCACTGCTTCCTTCTCCTGCAGAAAGCACTCTGATCTCCAGGGGTACTGGCGAGCAGGGCTGCCTGTGAAGGCCACTGACCAGCTGGCCTGCTTATTGAAGGGCGAGGGGCCCAGCCTCCCTGGGCACAGTGGCTGCTCTCAGTGTGACCGTGGCCAGTGTGGGAGACGTGCATTCCTGTGCCCCAGCTGGCTCCCAGAGGTCTCCTGGAGAACTTGTTCCAGATCCAGTTGCCTCCTGCCCCCAAGAGTCAGGGTTCAGGACTGACCTGGCCACTTAGTGTTCCTGCCATCAGTGTGTGGCTTCACCAGGTGGGAAATAGCATTCCCAGAAGCCACCTCGAGGGACTGACCACACTGGGGTTGGGGATGGTAGGAGACGCCTGCGGTGCACTGTCTGGAGCTGGGCTGCATGCTGCGGCACCCAGAGCCTCTGGAGCCCACTCTGGACTGGCCCTGGGCTGCACGTGTGTGAGACGTGCCGCAGCCTGGAATGATGTTCTCATTCTAGTGAAGAGTGAGAGGTTAGGTTCTCTGGTTGCTCCCCAGCAGGGCCATCCCACAAGGTGGCTCAAGGCAGACCAGGTGCACACTGGCCGTGGGCATTTCCAGGCACCTTTGTTCTTGCTTATTCTTTATTCTTGCAGAGACGTGTTATATATGTGCCCTGGGGGCCAAATTCATCATGAGAGCCCCTCATGGTGGAGGGCCAAATGTAGGAACAGCCTCTGGGCACAAGGGGCCATGGACAGCCCATCTGAGGCTCTGAAGGGCAGGGTGGCTGCTGTTGCCAGCTGCCCTTTCCATCACACTTCAGAAGTGCAGTCTGCTTGCTGTTGGGCCGCAGACAGTGCTGTGCTGGTCAGAGGCACTCAGGGCAGCTGGTGCGAATGTCCAGCCCTCCTCCTCTGAGCTTCGTTTGCTCACCCTGAGTCTAAAGCAGGGTGGGGGATGCTGCCCAGAATCAGGCATAGGTGTGGTGACCACCAGAGCACAGACCAGAGCCTGCGCAGCCCTGCAGCCTGGTGGGCCTGGCAGGGCCTGGCACAGGAGCCACGGGATGAAGTTTCCCCCTCTAAGCTCAGAACAGACTGGTGCTTGGGTATCACGGGGAGTGGATAGAGAGCACCATGTGAACCCAGCATGTGCTGTGGAGAGTTGAACTAAACAGGAAAGGAGATAGGAAGAGGAAATACAAATTGAAGCAAGAACCCAAGGAGTCCTGGTGAGCGTGGGGGAATTGGCATTTATGATCATGACATTTCAGGAAACGTGGTACGCTGTGGAGGGCAGGCTGGGTGGGTGAGACCCAGGACGTGAAGTCTCCAGCAAGAGAATCTTCATTACAGATGGCTCAAAGCACTCAACCTGTGGCATTGTGATTTGCCCATTGGGAAATCCTGGGTTGTTTTAAGACATTGTCATAGGAGGAATCTTATTCTGAGGGTGGTATTCCTGGGGCTCTGTTGGTACTAGATGGTAGGCCAGGCATGGGGTTGAGGAGGGAGGGTGAGGGCTGAGGTGCCACCCCTTCCGGTGCCCCTTAGCTTTTGAGACTGTTGCAGCTGGAATTCTGGATGGTTATAGCCATTCTGTGAATGTGGAGGGGCTACTTGGGGCCATTGGGCAAGTGTCTTAGGGCAGGGACTCGGGCTAGGTGGTCTGCTGGTCCCTGGGCAGGGGTACCCTCTGGAGAGGAGGAGCCTTCTCCCCCGGCACTGGCGTTCGGTGGTTGCACTCTGTCCCTGCCAGAGCTGCCTGTCCTTGGGAAGGCTTTCTCGTGGGCGCTTACCTACCTTGACATCTGTTTCTGCAGCCTGGCTCTGACTGAGTAGCCCTGGGCACTCCCTCTGGGTGTCCCACCCACCAAGCACACAAACTGCAGAGTGGCCGTCAAGCTGGCGTCTCTTGCTGAGGCCTGCTGCTGGGTTCCACCCTCACTTCCCACAGCTTGGGCTCCGCCCTCCTGGCTACTTTTCCCAATCAGATCTTGTAGGGTCCTTGGGGTGAAAGGAGATCCTTTGTGTGGAGTTTCTAGTGTCCCTGGGGTCTGCTGGGCACTCTCCACCGTCCTTGTGTGGTGAGAGACCTCCAAGGCCCGTGCCATCCGTTGGGGCCTGCTGGTTCCTCTGGCCAGTTTGGGCCTACCCACCTCCCTGTAAGCCTGCAAATTGCCGGCTGCTACATGTCCCTGTGCTCAGAGAAAGGGCTCCGTCACTGCAGCACAAGCCCTAAGCAGGACACAAGCATATTTCTTGCGAGGCCATTGTGTGCTGGCTTTGACCCCTGTGGGGTGTACGTTAAGCTTAAATGCTGGCTTTTCTGACTCTTAGAAAGTTTGAAAATGATTCACCCTAGAACCTTTGCGTCATGCCCACCTCATCTCCAGGGGTCTCAGCCTCCTGCTCTGGCTTCACTGGGGACCCGCTGCAGCCCTTTCTGGCCACCTGCTGTGGTTCTCCTCCCTGGCAACCCTCCCTGCTAGCAGTTCCCACTGGAGCCACTCCATGGCTGTGCTCTTGTGAGAGACGCACCCAGGCAGGCTCCGTCTTGCCCTGCTAGCTACCAGAACTGGCCCAGAAGTGCCTGGGTCCGGAGGTGCACTGTGAGGTTGGGAATACTCTGCATGTGCAAGGACCTGGCATGTTTGGTTTTGGTCTAAAGACAGTGGCATTTGACGAGATTGAAGGGGCTCTTTGCGTAGTTGTGCTCGGGTAACTTCTGTGGGCAGGGTACGGCATGTCCTGAAACCTTGAGCTTCTCCCAGGAGCCCCGTACCTGAGCGTCTGTGCACACCTGATTGAAGGGTGGCTGGGCCCTGCCTCATTTGGAGACAGCCTCTCTGTGTTCATGGGAAATGCCTACCCCGTAGGCCTGTGAAGGAGGCGGCGGGGGCAAGGCCCTGGTTCTGGACACAAGTTTCTGTTGAGCTCTGCCTGGCCATGGGCCCCACGTCCAGGTGCGAGCTCCTGGGTGTACAGGAAGTAGCCCCACAGGTGTGGTCTGCAGGGCTTGGCCCAGGAGCCCCCTCTTCTCCTTCTCTGAGTCTCAGGTGGGGGTCTGTGGCATCTGTCGCCACCTGGCAGGGAAACCAGATAAGAACAGGTGAGGGCT